GGCTTGGTAAAGTCGCCAAACACAGCATCCGTTCCCGTCATGCCCAGACCATCTACACCACACAAACTGCTTACTATAGACTTTGTATCCACGTTTAGGCCATTCTCGAATTCAACGTACGTTTCCATTGCGACTTGTCCACAAATCCAAGCACCTTCAGCCCGCGCGTCGTGAGGAGCTTCAACGCTGCCTGATCGGCTGTCGAAAAAGGAATCTACACATTGAGCTATATGTTTGGAATCGATACATTACAACGAGAAATCTTGTGAGTTGTGCTTCAAAATGATAACATTTTCCGTCAGTGTCAACAACGTACCATTTCTGAACCGTACTTGTACGCTTTGATGCGTCGCTCCGGCGGCAACTCTTCGTCAGGTTGGGCCTGTTAGTATAACGTCAGTGGGCTGCAACAAACGGGGGGAGAAAATTCAACACTAACTCGTTCTGAAAGTGTTTTTGTAGGAACAACACAACCCAAGGCACAAAAAATATCAACACCCTCACACGACCCAGCTCATATCCAGCAGCATCAACGACACATACCTGAGTTATAATGCATTTCATGATAGGCATGGTAATACCAATTGAATTGAGAGGACAAGAAAATACACACTGTAAACGTACCGTGGCAAAGTAGCTGCGCTCCATGCGAACTTTTCCGGGCACGTCGTCCTCGGAAAACGTGGAGCTCTTCTTGGCGACTTGCGATTCTTTTTGTAGCGACGGGATCGTCGCTTCCAGAACTTTGCCAAATACGTACACAGGAATGAAAAGATTTTCGCCAAATTCTAAGCTCCCGCGCATTTTCGTCGTCTAAAAAAAGCAATTCATGTCTGAGCTAGAAACACAGTCTTCGACCTTGATGAAAGTTTCAGGGCATTGATCGATCCAATTGAAGAAGATATGGTTGGTACTTGAACACCACATCTCTGAGGTGTACCCATGTAGCCAAAATTGGAGCGAAGAGATTCGTCACTGCCATAGCAAATATGCAAAAAGAACAGCGAAAAAACATCCAAAAGTACAATGACTTGAACAGAAGCCTACTCACTTGAAGCACGGGTTTGAGTTTGCTTTGGGCGAGGAAATCCATCCGTTTCGACACGGACTGGACTTCTCCTTGGACTTCCGTCGCAATCGAATGCAACATCTTTTCATTCTCCGACTATAAAGGCACGACATTGCAGATCAGAATGTGATGGGTTGAAGCTTCGAGTCACTACTTGACGAAGGTGTGGAACGACCTCACATCAATTCGTCATGCATGGTTGAAAACTTCATGTACCTTGATGAATGATGCGGCAACAGCTTCATCTTTTACCCCGTCAGGCTGTTCATGCTTCGTATCCATTCCAAAGTCGATGCCACTGCAGTAAAAGTGGTTCGTTAGAATGAAGTCGAACGACCTGCTTTGTTGAGTACGCCAGGGGAATATTTAGCAGGAATGCCATGCATTCTCTCGTTGTGGTGATCGTTCTCACAAGAAAGGACGTGTCTGACGCGCTGGTAGTCCGCCCACAACGTGTAGTACAAAAAACACCGGCATCAAACAAACAAACTCCCAAAGTAGATCGGACGACAGTGCCATCATGACGAAGACAGCATTCGTGTGTCCATGTAGGTTCGTACATGATTTGAAGGTGTACTTCGAGGTTTTGAATCATCGTGCACACGACCTCCATGTCTGACGGATTGTTTATGCGAGTGGCGGCGTCCGTGATCACGACGAGGCGTTTGTCGTACTTTTTGTTGTCCGTGCGACGAATGACCAAGTCAAGGGCAACGATAATTCCGTCGAGGACATCCGCAGGTGTCTCTACGGATGCCGCTTCCATGGCTTGGAGCTGCTTCGCGAGATCGAGTGACACAGGCGTAATTGAGCTCAGGACCGTCACGTTTTTGTAGTTGTTGCCATCGTCAGAGTTCAGCTGGTTGTCAGTCCCTTCG